GGTCCCGATGGTTTCCCTCTAGCCTTCTTCTAGGGGTTTTGGGATCTGATCAAAGCTAAGTTGCTGCAGTTTGTGAGAGGCTTCATGGTTAGAGGGGAGATTTTCAAAGGAGTGAACTCAACTTTCTTGGCTCTCATCCCTAAGAAGTCTACGATCTCAAGTCTATCTAATATTCACCCAATTAGGCTTTTGTGTAGCCTTTACAAGATTGTTGCAAAGGTGCTCGCGGAGAGGCTAAAATTAGTACTACCTTTCCTCATCTCTAGTACTCAGTCTGCTTTTATTAAGGAGCGTCAGATTATGGATAGTGTGCTTATTACACAAAAGTGTATCCATTCTAGGGTTTGCAGTAGGAAATCTGACATTTTGATGAAACTGAATACGGAAAAATATTATGACTAAGTGGAATGGGGGGCTTTAATGGAAATCCTAAAATGTATGGGGTTTGATCCTAGATGGAGCAGTTATATGCTTGAGTGTCTTTCCTTTGCCAATTTTTTGGTCCTCTTCAATGGCAATCTGACGGGTTTCTTCTAAGCGTCTAGGGGTCTTTGTCAAGGAGATCCCCTATCTCCTTTCTTGTTTACCATTTATACATAGTGTTTTAGTTTAATGGTGAGCAATGTGGTGAGGAAATGCCATTTTTCCGAGTTTGACATTGCAAACTCGGGTTTGATAATTTTCCATTTGCAATATGCAGATATCCCTCTTATTTTTTGTGATGCGGACCCAAGACAGGTGAAAAACATTGCAACTTTTTTCGAAATTTGTGAAGTTACGATTGGTTTTAAAGTAAACTTTCACAAACCTTCTTTACTGGGTCTTAATTGTAGCGCTGTGGAAGTTACTCTTGCTAGTGTTATGGGCTCTAATGTGGGTTCTTTTCCTCTTTTTTATCTTGGCTTACCTATTTCAGATTCACGTCTTCCTATTTCAGTATGGGATAGGGTGCTGGAACGAATACAATGTAAGTTTGATCAGTGGAAACCGAAGTATCTATCTCTGGGTGGTAGGATCATGCTTATTAGCTCGTACCTGGCCAATCTTCCAGTCTATCAGATGTCCTTGATCAACTTGCCAGCAATGATTGTGAGAAGAATAGAAAAAATGATGAGAGATTTCTTTTAGGGCTCTGACAGTCATCATTGTAGATTCCATTTATTGCGGTGGGATAGGGTGTACACCCCAAAGAAGGAGGGTGGTTTGGGTCTCAAAAGATTAAGATTGGTTAACTAAGCTTTGCTCTGTAAATGGTGGTGGAGAAGCCTTCACCTAAAAGATCAGCTCTAATATCAAGTACTCCTTGCTAAGTATGGTTTGGGTATATCAGACTTTTGGATTGGTCGTGGTTCTAGGAGGGATACTTCTCAGATGTGGAGGAATGTTGCATATGTGCCCATGGTCGCAAATTACTTTACATGGTCGATTGGGAGTGGGAATGAAGTTTCTTTTTAGCATCATATGTGGGTGGGAGATTATTCCCTCAAGTCCGTTTTCCCATATTTATTTACTATTACTTTAGACCCCAATGCTAAGGTATGCCAACTGGTTGAGAGAAGAGGGGTCTCCTTATCGTGGAATATTCCCTTGAGGTATACCAGGCTGAATAATTATGTATTTTCACAGTGGTGTGCGTTGATGGAAATTCTTGATACAGCTTATATTGCAATAGATGCAAGAGATGAATTGGTTTGGACAAATGAAAATGATGGTATCTTCACCGTTAAGTCATACTACAATCTTCTCTTCCATGACCGATGGAGATGGTCTTACCTTGAAGTTACTGCTGTTTGGAAATGACCAATATCCCGTAAGGTTCAAGTGTTTATCTGGCTAGCCGCACTAAATAAAATCCTGACTATTGACAACCTTATTAAAAGGGGTAAGATTTTACCAAATGTTTGCTTATTTTGTAAGGCTAATGGTGGATCCACGGTGCATTTATTCTTGCACTGCCCAATTACGAGCCAAATTTGGTCTTGGTTGTTTGGACTGGTCAACATTAGTATGGCTCTACCATTAGTTGTTGATGGGAACGTTACGCAATTGTCTTTACGTTACGCAATTGTCTTTACCTCATTTACCGAAGGTTGGTCAGGCACTATGGTGTATAGCAAAAGGAATGATTCTATGGGAAATTTGGAAAGAAAGGAGCATGCGGACCTTTGAAGGTATCTCTCTATCCTTAAACTGTTTGATTCATTTTATCAAACTGTCCATCTGGTCATACCTATCCATCTCTAAAGTGGGCTGGGGTTTATCAAAGATCAATGTTGTGGCTAATTTGGGCAATCTATTTCTTCTTGGTTCTCGTAATAACTGGCTTAGGCTAAGCTAGATAGCCCCCTTTTCTGGTACTTTTAAACTTAATTTTGATGGTAGTTCCCAAGGCAATCCTAGGAGGGCTAGTATTGGCGGACTGATGAGGGATTGTTATCGCAATACTCTCTTTTCCTTCGCAGGGCCAATCGGTTGTGCAACTGCAAACTACACTGAGATGTGTGCACTTTACCATGGCCTAAAGATTTTCATGGAGAGAAATTGTGGGGTGATATGTTGGATTGAGGGGGATTCTCTTAATGTCCGTAAGTGGTGCAAAAAAGAGCAACGGGTTCCTTGGAACCTTCGCTCTCTGTGGTTATGTATTTTAGATCTGGCTGCCCCTTTTACGGTTACCTTCGCTCATGTCTACCGAGAAGCTAATTCAATTGCTGATGAGTTGTCTATAGGGGGTGCTCTTTTGTCTTCTCTTGTTATCTCTGATAATGTAATTTTCTTTTTGTAGTGTGAATAAAAATAGTAACATTTGTCAAAAAAAAAAAGATTTTCAAAGCCTAAAGTTTTTGATTCAAAATCCATCTCCAAGAGAGATTTTGGTGAGAGGATTCATGTAAATAAACAATCTAGCGGACTCATAAAAAATTATCCTTCATAATATCAATTTTATAAAGGGTGTGGTATGTATAAGGTGCCGGAATATGTTGTTTTAGTATCAAAAATCTTTATGATGGCCTTAAAAAAAAAAAGGATGCAGTTGGCATACGGATGCATCCATAGCGGTAGAGGCAAGGTGCACCTTCAAATTTTATCACGATCTATAATTTTGGTGTAAAATGTTATTAGGATTATCTCAAAATCTATTTTTATATCTAATTATAAATTTTAAATTTTAAAAATGGTTAAAATCAAGTAGATCTATAAACTTATGAAAATTTTGAAAATGGATGGTGTAGAAAATGCACTATTTCTGAGACTTAAAATATTTTTATTTTTCATGGTCTTGCATCTCGATGTTGAGATGATCAATCGAAGGGTTTTTCAACAT